ACTCCAGAAAAGTACAGTTTCATAAAGATTTTTTTGCCCAATGGGTTTTCCTGCTCTCCAAAAAATCGAACTGGACAAATATACTAGAACATTTTGCCAAAGACAAACTTGAACTCTGAAAACACAAACATTAGAATTATCTGAGTGTTTGACTTGAAAGAGCTTATATTAATTGCTCATAACTTTTATTTTAAGAAATACATACACAAGGACAAGACCCAACAGAAAAAAAGATAGGGAGATTTTATGAAAGCGTCCTGTAAAACAGCAGCAACAACAAAACACGTAAGACAGCTTTTCACAGATCTCCACTTTTCATAGTGTAAAGGGTAGACAGCTACATATTGTGTTCACATGGAAAATTAAGATTTAAATACAGAATTACATAATATTATGCACTTCCTGATATTTCCACTTGAATCTAACCCCTCAAAGAGGAGAAAAACAACATTACTGGTCAGTTTGAACTGTTGTCTCTCCCTATCTCTCACCACCCTCCCTCCAAGTATTCAAGTTCCATCAGGCTAAAATAGATTTATGGTGGGTAACTTCTCAGAATACTTTTTTCCCTTCTTCTTCTCCCCCCCGCCAGTATCAAAGAGACCTGCATTCCCAAGCTCACTAATCACTGGGTTCAGTCCGTACTATCAATATGCCCTGTGGAAAAATCTCTAAACAGATGGATTGAAAAGTTAGTACTGTTAGAAACCAGGCATGTGTAGCAGCAGCTGTCTTACTTGGCATAGCTTTTGTCAAGTTTTCTGGCTCAAATTCCACAACCACAGACTTCTAATGGCCACTGGTATCAATCAACATGCTTGGACTAATTCTGAACATAGAAGTTTCACATTTCAAGAAGTTTCACATTCTAACAACTATTTTAAGTCAATAAGGCTGATCTAATACACAGGAACATGCTCACTGCTAGCCCAGGGGCATGGCACCTTGCCTACTTCGCTGCCAGCTATGAAACCAGGAAAAGAACAGTGGAAACTAAATCCACTTTAAGGACAGAACACATTCAGATGGCCAGGAAGAATGCCAACTACAGTATCATGTTTAATTCTTAAACACTAATGATTGATTCATGGCAACAACCCCAAAGGGAAATACTCACCTGCTATTTTAGCAGTACATGAAGCATATTTTCAGGGGATGTTTTTTAACACTATCTGTGGGAATTCTGCTTTGTAACTCTATCCTATTAATAAATCTTATAATTTCAAATTGAAAATTTACCTCCCTGCCCAAATCTCTTTTGAAATAGAGGGGGAACAGCAAACTTATTTGGGATGCAATAAGTAATAAGACAAGGAATACAAAAAGAAAAGAAAAAAGTTAATCCTATGCTTCAGTTGAAGCAATGACACAGAACTACTGGGGGAATAGAGCTGTAAACCCCTCATTCTCCGTGACTTTACAGAGACACCACTGATATTCAATCACACTGAAGTTGCAACTGAGCCTGGATAAATTATGTGTCCCATCCCCAGCAAGAAAACAGCAATTGTTTTGAAAATATTCTAAAAATCCTTTTCCATTACTTTTCTTCCTCAGCACATTTTTAAAAACTCGTACTGTCTGAGCTATTGGCAATCATCGCCACATTAATCTGTTTCACAAAAGGCAGAGGAAGAAAAATTATTCCCCAGTGGATTTCCAGAGACTCTGCAAATGATATGTTGCACTGAGCTTAACACCTGAACATGGACCACTTGGTTGCGCTGTTATTACAGTACAGAAATCTGTAGTTCTTGATGAACAATGCACAGAACGGTAGGAAAAAACGCAACTACTCTAATTTTAGATATGAAATAAAATCGAAATGATTTTCAATTTCATTCTAAACATCTAGAATTTATGAGAATACTGCAGATACTGAACAAGGTATGCCTGTGTAGTCTTAACCTTAAATACCTTGAAGACAGTGAGACCAATAATAATGAATTTGAAAGTAGATGTGTCCCATGGAATTATCCCTTTGATAACTCTGCACAAATTTCAGCCTGCGTGGTGGAGTTCCTTATCTGTAAAGTCATCTCAGTCAGATGGAACATGTGAAGGAAGCAGGTCAGAAAAAAAATACCAGTTACACGCACACATTGAGTAGCAATAGAAATCCTCAAAGGTTCTTATTAAGAAAGGATGATCTTCAGTACCTGGTACAAACGCACACATGAAAATCCTGGACCTATCTCTTGCAGTTGAGACACTTTTGCCACTGACCATCATGGAAAAACAATTTTAGCTATGGCATCTATAACCATTACAATCCACCATCCAAAATATGTCCTTCAAAACTGGAATTGCCAAGATAAACGCTTTCAAGCAAGTTTAGTTCTAGTCCCGACACTGTTTGAATTGGATACATGGAAAAAACCTTTTAGACCCACACATATTGCGACACTGAAAGAGGTTTCTCAGGGTTCAGAATCTCCATCCCTGGAAGTTTCCAAGACTTTTCTGACTGATCTAGTGTTGGCAGAAGTCCTATCTTGATTAGGAAGCTCAAGGAGGACAAATAAACTCTGACGGTGCCCACTCTGCAAAGTAAAAACACTACACTGAAAAATATTCTAATAAAAATTCTATTGTTTACATAAGCTTGCTTTGTTATTTAGATTTTTATCTTTAACTTGGCACTCTAATTTTTATTAGTTTATCTTTAACTTGGCACTCTAATTTTTATTAGGGAACATAAAGCACCTAAAAAATGAAACCTGAAAAGTGAGGCAGAGACATAATACTGTCTTGAGAAGCCACTTTTAAGGGAAAAAAAATACAACATTATTTATTGTTTTGTTAAACAGATTTTAAAAACTAGTAAATTCATTTTCACTTGATTATTGTGCAATTCTGCTCAGTGCAGAACATCAAGGAAACAAACTGTACATTAGAACTGAGCTAAATCTAAGGATAAAAAGAAGATCCATTTAACCATGATGTATACTCATTTCTGTGAGACCACGAAGTAAATCTAACATTACTTCCAAATGAATCCTGTGCTACTGACTAGGATCCAAATCCTTAACTATGATGTTCAGTTTCACTTTAGGAGCCAGCTTTATTTTGGGAATATAATAAATTCCAACTGAGTAAGAATTAGCACTCCCAAGTCTTAAGCTAGAATAACTGTAGGTAAATCAAGGAATTTTTTGTAATAAAAGGCCTTATTTCCCCACCCATCTTCCAGGTTTTTTTCTCCCATTAATAAGAAATATCTTCTAGGGCTGTGCTGGTTGTATGCATGTTCTAATAAGATAAAATACAGCAGCAGCACCTTGTTCTTTAGCAAGAATTTAGTGTACCAGTTTTACCAAATAGATGGGTAAAAACAAAAGCAGCAACAACGGTGAAATGTTTCCGTCACACTCTGTACAGCAGATTAATGTTCTGTCTGTGACTAGGACAGAGGTACATAGTCAGACAGCAGTCTGAGTAGGATGAACTGGAAGAGAAATGTATTGCACAAAGCCTTGCCATCTGAAATGGAAATATCCTCACTCAGAGCACACCTGCAAGTGTCAGGACAGTTACCTGTTAAGGTTAAGGTACTGTCGCTGTCTCCCAAAATCAACTCATTATTTGAGGAAGCTCATTCCAGTGTGAATCACACAAGCTATCAGCTCAGAAGCATTTTATCTGTAAAGACAGCAGACTCTAAAACAAACAGGCATTTGTTCGTGTTGAGAAAAACCCAAGACATGAAAAGGTATGGAAGACTAATTGCTAATTAGGGAACCTAAGAAAGATTCTAGCAGATGCAGAAAGAAAAGCTACATGAGTTTTTCATTATAGAAACACATAGCTGTAAATATTCTTCTTACACCAACCCTCTATTTTCATGCTTGTTTCAAAGAAAAGCTCAGTAGAGGTGGAGCATGAGAAGACATTTTTCAGGTGACTCTACAGAATAGGTGATCTGAAATTCCTACTGCAATCAGAGGCTTTAAATATCCCTGCAATACTGTTACTACTTGTACTGTACCATTTGAAAGCAGAAGGCAAGCCCACACAGCATCTCTGATCCTGGTGCAGCTCATTGCTTAATTCAGTCTCAACTCTTTATGCCGAAGTACTGAAAAAAGTGCTAATGAAATTGAGTCTGCCAAAAGGATGATTGATATCTTAGTTACTCTTGATACTTTTAAAAGGTAGTATCACTTTGGTTTGATTGAATTTGATACTAACCACAAAGTATTCAGTCATGAGAAGATTTAACTTTCCATCCTTAAAAAAGACTTCCTTTATCTCCAGTACCTCAGCAGTCGTAACTGAATATGAAATTGGAGAATGAAGAACTTTTTCTAACTGCATTAAAGACAGATAGATAACAGAAATATATCTTTGATATTTTAACAAACAGCTGCTATTTATCCACTTTGACTTATATACTCATTTAGTTATTCATAAATCAATTATTGAAAGTACTGCACTTTGGGTAACGTTATGAAGTAAGGATACAATAATGGTATCTTTAAACAGTGTTAAGAAATTAGACAACTTGCAGAAAAATTAACTGCAGTTTAATCCAGGCTGTGGGGCTGTGTGGTTGTGATTGGCTCTGTTTTCTGCACAATGGAACAAGAAGTTTCAGCCTCGGTTCCCAGGTGCCCACATTCCCAAAATTTCTCTTTACCTGGCACTACTATGCTCTCTTCTTGAGTGTTTAAGCTTACATCATATCACACAACAGGAGAAAATGTTGAAATTCTCCTTATGTGCTCCATTTTCGTCTGCCTGTGTGGATGAAAAGGATACTAAGCAAAATTAACTGTCATGCTAAGCACAAGTCATCACTGACAGATCCATCTCACTGGTCTCACATTTGCTGCAGATTCTTACAAGTAGCTGGAAAATGATGTGAAAAGCGGAATAAACAAGCAGATACATGAATGCTTTATTATGTTCTGTTGTTACTCTTCTATTTCTCTGGCTCTTGTTGTGTTAAGTAAGTTTTACAGAAGCTTTTCCAGAATATATATATATCAAGTACTTACATTTGATGCTGGTCAGCCTACTTTTGGGCACTGAGCAGTCTACAGCTGCTAAAAATAAAAAAAACACCAAATGGGAATGATTCAGTATTTATTTCATATATGTGAGAGGTAGGAAAAAATAGCAATAAACCAATACAGAACAAAGACTAATTTAATTCTTCTCTATTTTGAAACATGATAGTTACCATGTACTTAAAGTATTAGGTTGATATTAATACATTCAGAGAATTTGCAAGATAAAGCTGTTTGGGAAAAACATATATTTAAAGTAAGAATCATCACTTAAATGAAGATTCTTCACACAAGGTTTCTGTACATTTTGTGTTGATGGCATTTACCTGCATACCCAAGGATACTGAATATGTTACATAAGAGATAACACTATATTTGTGAGCATGGACTCTACCAGTAACTTGATTTTCTCATTTGCAAATACACAGTCCTTAAAACTCGCTACTATATTCACTGCAGTAAAAACAAAAGATAATGAAGTTTTTTTAATTAAAAAATTATAAAATATATAATTATTAAATTATAAAATATAAATTATAAAAAAAGACATAGTGGTCTGAGTTTAACTGAAAATTTTCCACCTTCATTCCTAAAATAAATTCTGTATCTTTGCTATTGTGACTGTCACCATGATTTTCAGTTCAGCACGTTATTTCATTATTTATTAATTATTAGAGTTAATTGAATTAATTATAAATTCATTATTTCATCATTTCATCATATATCAAAATCACAGAATAACTTCAAGAAAAGTCGAAGGAGACCATTAAAGCACTAAATACTGTAAAATTAAGGTAATATATTTGGTAACACTTAAGGAAAAGGTTTTAATACAAAAATTCCAATCTCAATAATATAAAAGTATTATTAAGTAGCAGTTATATCTCCTTGCTGATGCCGATTTTAGTAAGAAACAGAAAAAACTGTACACTTACTACAATCCAGTTCATTCCTTCTTGATATGAGCCTCTTCTGAAGGAATGAGCTAAATCTGGGGGTAGAAAGTTCATTCATACATGCAGGTTTTTACCTTTGGCTGAAAGCATCCTGCTATAATGAGACATCATGTGATCTCTGATGAGGTATTGGTTAGTCAGACTTCGAGATGAGTCTATGCAGAAAGCTGTAAGATTAAAATACATTTGAACACTACAAAGGTGAGAACAAGAATACTAAAATTTTAAACTGTTATTAACTTCAATTCAAAGTCATAAAGCTTAAATAACAGTGTGCTTCACTTCTTTGCTCAATGGCAGCCATTTTTCTTTGCCAGTTACTATCACATGAAACCATTGTGTCTCCTTTATCTTTTCCCACTGAGCCCACTAACTCAATAAACAGCTACACAAGTGGCTGAAATTGGACTATGAAAATGTCAGCATGGAAACTTCATGTTTCTTCCCTCTATGCCCGTTTGAAAAAAAGGGTCTGAGGTGCAAGGATGGCACAAAAACATACACTAGCCCATGTAAACTACTGACTGTAAAGGAATATTTTTAACCTCAAGGATTCTTTAAGTGGCAACCATATATATATTCCAGCTAACACAGATGTGACATCTTTATATATTTAGTTGTCTTGCTACCTATTTATAGCTAGCAGTACAGTCAAGGTAAAACTTACTCCTTGAGAGCATTTTCAGTAATGCATACTAAATCTAAGTGCTATAAACTTCACCAAATAGCTTGATGAAAAGGTTTTAATTATAATAACATTTTAATCATAAAACAAATTAATTGACATAAGAGGAACCATGTCAATCTTCTGATGAAAGTACATGTTACTTACCATTACTCTTAGTACTTAAGTGCCCTTTAAATGGACTTGTTGGACCACATCTGGGAATGACAGCAGGTGGGTGTTCACTCACTTTAACAAAATGTCAAACAAAAACTGAACGTTAGAAAAAAAAACCAAACAAAGTGTATTTTTACAAAGACAAAGTTAGAATCTTTCTCCAAGGAATTCATGAATGGTTCTAGTGGACCTTTTTCACTGAGGGAAAAAATCTTATTTAATTGTTCTATTATTACTGAAATACAACAGTGTAGTTAAGTAACTTAATCTAAACACCAAGATACAGGGAGAATGTGATTTAAAAACTGGCACATGAATTGGGAATCTGCAACACTTTTAGAACACTGTTGTGAAATTACACTAAATCTGTATCAACAGATTCAATCTCCTCTCTTACAAAGAACAACAAGTACCAGGGCAATCTTGAATTCCTATAAGGATTTCATACTTTCAAAAGTCAGCCTTTATAGAGTGCAGGCTTCTGTGGCTTTCCAGTATTAAGAGATGGTGTTTGCAATAATAGTGCTCCCACTCCCTTTGCTGGGAAGTTGCCAGACTCGCAGTAAAAAAGGGACAAGAGAAAAAAAAATGCTAACTGTCCTACAATTGTTTTATCTTTATACTGTTTTCTCTAAAGCCAAAGGACAATAATCCTGCTCACCCATATCAATTTCAAATGGCTCATTTTAAATTCCCCTTGTGATACAATTCTTCCTAATTTGTGATTTAAGCATACATAGGGACAAACAATGCTAAATTATTTTTAAAATATTAAAATTCCAAACATATAGCAAAAATTCATTAGATTTAGAATTACTGTCTCCATAATGACTGTAAACCTCTGTCAATAAAGGATTTCTTTCCTGTTTATGTATTATATTTCTCTACCATACACTATTACATATGTGTGGTATTCACAGTATAGCTGGATCCACCCTGAAACCCGCCACTTCCTGAAGTTACAGTGTCCACATTTAAAGAATGCAAGTCTTCTAGAGGACTTGAATGTTAGATGATAACATTTCAGTTGATAAAATTTTCACCTAATGATAAAAAAACCCACCCATATATCAGAAATCTAGATTATAGCAGACACCTGAGAATAAGAAGTGTTCTAGTCACAATTCCCCAAAATAACCTAAATATTCCATTATTTTCTGTAGTTCAGAGCTAGTTTATAATTCCAGAGGGAGGCAGACGTGGTATTGTCAGATTAATGCTTACAACAGCACCTCTAACTCATTCCTATGTGACAGAAGAGACATTGTTATAATTACAGCAGATTCTCTTCAAGTAAATAAATGACTTAGTCCTGAGTTAAAGATGATGAGACACTCAGAAACCTGTTGCTTTTACTGTCTTCAGCTGGAGACACAACTGTTCAGCACTACAGAGAATCCAGACGATTTTGAAATGTTCACTTGCTTCACATCACCAGCAGATGGCACAGAATAAATTCTATGGAAAAAACTACTGGCTGTTGGCTTTGTCCTTTACAACTAATCTGTATCTGGGGGAAGAGGGTAGGAGGAAAAAAAGTCAGGACCAGTATTTCATTGGCAAGAAAAACTGTCAAGAAGAAGAACTTAAAAACATTTCTGTGTCCTTTATTTCGGCTGTAGACATGTGGACAGCACCGGAGTCACTCCCAATCCACACAGCAACCCCTGATTTCAGAAGTCCAAAACACACTGAAAACACAACATCTCTTGTTAAGACGTCACAGCCTTTGTTCAGGCACTACGTTCCCAAATCTCAGTTCTCCCTGCATGTTCTAGTTTCTGTGCCACCAAAGAAATTTTTCAAGTCCCTGATCCAACCAGATGGATTTGCAACCCTGCTCCTGCTTAACGGCAGGATAACGTGTACTCAGCACTTTCACAAGTATCCCTGAACTTCCTTAGAAAATACCTAGGCCATTACAATTTTGACGCCTGTTTCAGTAAGTGAAAAAACCTTAAATAAAAGCATTCACAACTGCTCATATTTTAGGATACCCATGAAATGCCAGGATTGCAGCTCCTCTAGTACTGGACTCATTGAAAACTTGCACACCATTAACAAACAACATCTTCTTGCTGTTTAGAATATTTCCTTGCTGGGTAAAAGTTAATGCTGAACAGTGTTTTGGGTTTTTTTAATATATGGTTGGATTCCAGGGGCCCTCTATTCTGGCAAACTACATTTTCTTGTATTTCCACAAACAGTAGAACTTGTGATGAAGGCTTCCTATGGCCCACCCATGGTATCCTATGGTGCTTGCTCCTAGATTCTCTAACTCCCAGGCCAAATAACGTACCTCAGCTGTTCCTGTAAGCTGTGTGTCAGTGAGGGCGTTTGAGGCTCTCTCAGTGAACCACCTGTTTTCACAAAACATGTAGAAAATTTATCACAGAAAAAGGGTCAAAGAAACTAATTTGGCTAAAATAATGTTCAGTTCTACTGAAACAGAAAAGGCAAATAAGCAAATTTTTGGTTCCTTAGGATTCCAGGCTGTTTCACATACATATTCCTTCAAATATTTTCTACACTGAAGTCAACTTACAATACTCTCCCAATACCTCCAGTCTGAAACTCAAAACTGCTTTTTAAAGTGTCAAATATTTACAATGAAGGCGCATGTTGCTAATGTCAGAGAAAAACAGAAGGATTTGATATGTGGAGAATATTTCTACCTGCTGAAGTAAGGTAGGAAGTGTTAATGGTCAAATGTTTCACAACTACAATTTCACATTGTCTTCCGACTTGCACAGGTATTTGGTTAGCTTCAGGTTGTGTTTTCAAAGTTATTTGCACAACAGCAGAAGCAACTTAAGTTGAAGGCTTAAATATGTAAAGATCCTTTTAAAGGTGTAGGTTGGATTTTCAGTAAATTACAAGTATTGAGGCCATGTTGCTGAGAACACAGCTGCGCTGGGCAGGGCACGTTTCCAGGATGAAGGACCACCGCCTCCCTAAGATCCTGCTTTATGGTGAACTTGCCACCGGCTGCCGCATGAGAGGAGCCCCGAAGAAAAGATACAAGGACTCCCTGAAACAACATCTCAGCCTTGATCACCATAACTGGTCTACTCTGGCCTCCAATCGGGAGGTCTGGAGACACGCCATCTATAACGCTGCTGATGCCTTTGAGAACACACGCAGGATCACTCTTGAGGAGAAAAGACAACGCAGAAAGAATCGTTCCTTGTGGAATACATCACCTAAGGAGTCTTTCTGCTGTGCCTTTTGCAATCGGACATGTCTATCTCATATTGGCCTTTTTAGCCACCAATGCGCCTGCAACAAACATGGGTAGAGCCCTTCCCAAATCTTCGTTAGCGAAGCCCAGCCACGTGTGTACACAGTTAATCAAATATAAACCAAACAAAGGGAAGATAACTACAAAACTATCTTTGATACATGATACATGTGATCTAAACATAAATTTCCTCACAGATATAAGTGGACTGTCCGCACTGAATATAAAATCAGGATTCCCATAATGAGTGTTCTCCTGAAGTACAGAGAGCAAACATATTAAGAACTTTTAGAAATTCATTTGATCTTTTAGTTCCTTGTGTGATATGCAACAAAGAAGAGAAAAAAATAAAAAAAACCTTTCCCTATAATTTTTTCCAGCTGGTATCTAAGTTAAGTAATAATTATATTATTTCAAAGAGATTTTTAAGATATTTTGTTTAAATTATATTTTCATTTTAAATGCCTCCTATCTTTAATTCTATTTTTACAGCCTTAAAAATGATGAAAATTGGTGGTTTCTATTTGTTACTTTGCTTCCTGGTTGTTAGTGGATATGGAGAATTTATGGAAATCATTTTTCTACAAAGCCATTTCAGATTTGGAAAGTGAATATGTACTGGAGAGAAGCCCAGTCTTTCATTACAATGTTCTCCCAGGAAAGATTTTAAACACAAGTATTAGACTTGCTATTTTTATAACAAGTGTGTACTTCAGCCACAGCAAATAAAATATACTGAAAAAAATCAATCAGGCTACCCTTACCCACCGAGACTTGCTATTTAAAAGATAATCCATAAAAAATACAGAGACTGGAGGTGGGATATTGGATATAGGCATCTAAATCCAGCACTACAAGGCATAAAGCCTTTACTTAACTGTGCAGAGATGTGTGAACACTATAATTTCCAAAGGGCAGTTCCTAGACCTTAGCTTGGGTTCAAACAACCTTCAGACCAAGATGGATTTAGACCTCAGGTCTCCCCAGCTGTTCCAGAGGAGTATTTTTATCACTCTGTCAGGATATTTTAACCCTTTTGTGCATTGGGGTTTTTTTTGTGGCTCCAAGACTCTTGCCTCCTCTCAGCTGGCAATGTAGAAAGCACCCCTATCTCTAACAGACTAGAACAGCATCGTTTGCGTGGTATTTGGGGATTTGATCCCTCTCGGGCTGATAAGGGCCCAAGCTGACAAATGCTCTGCACAAAACGCTCTAGCCACTACACTAAAGGTTTGGTATTCTCACTTCTTCCGCTTTTTCCTCTTTTTCCCCAAAATCTCAATGCTCTAAACCTGAAATAGTTAGAGACACCTTTGTTCAAGTGGGTAATTCAGGCAACTACATGCAGAAGGTTTGTGCTGTGAATTTCATGCAAGTCAAGGATGCTCTATCACTACCACCTTTGTTCCACCAACTAGTTTAATGATCTTTTCAGTGGGCTTCCTGCTATGAATTCACTCTTCTAACTCCATACAACTAACAGTACACTACAGCACTAATGCTGGACACATGCTGAGGAAGGAACAAAAGCGGTTTAAATAATCTCTGTGAAATCCAAAACAAGTTCAAGCAGTGATAGAAACTCCTTTAAGCATTTAATGTAATATATCTGACAAGGTCATAGTTAAAGGAATGAAACTACGCCCCAAAATACACATTCCTCTCCTTTTGGTACTATGTGAATTTTTAAACTAAAGTATCCGTTACCTCTTTATGCTACAGAAATTGTTGTGCATATGAATGCAACACAGAAATATATAGAGTAAAAACTGATATCTGAAAGTACATTAAAAGATTAACCTGATTAAGAAGATCCACACTGGATTTAAACTTAATTTATTTAAATAAGAAATAATTTTTCTATTTCTAACTATTTGTCTTTTATATTAGCATGATGATAAAACTAAAAAAAAAAAAAAGCATACTCTACTAATATTACTACTAATGAGGCCTGCTCTCCTATCCACGTAGCTCCCATCTTTCATACCATATCCCCTAAACCCCTTTCATGTCCCCAGTTTGCCACCTTTTCCTTACCTGTGGTCATTCCTCCCCTCGACCATCCCCTACTTGCTCAGCTGTGGCTGACGAGGTGCTATGAATACTACAATTGGTCATCTAGTTTAAGCTTCTCTGGTTGCTTATCCTTGGCTGACTAGTACTTACCCTTTAGTTACACATCTGGGAAAGAGCACAGAACAGAATTACTTTCTCTAAAAAATGTGTATTAATTTGTTGGGTTTTCTCCTACCCGGTCACTGACAATACTCCTAGTTCTTACTCTAATGGTTGAAGTCGGCTAGTAGATGCAGAACTAGTCTAGTGGTTAGGGTGCAGGACTCTCACCGCTGCGACCCGGGTTCGATTCCCAGCCCCCCCGGGCAGATGGAGCTCGTCAGCCCTGTAAGGCAATCCATCTAAGAGAAGGTCACTCTAAACAAACCTATGTCCTGAGACCCTCACTGCCACTGTCCAAGCTTGATCGGCCCCGGCAGATGAACCTCAGGATTAAAGGGTGGGCTCAGTTCAGCGCACACTGGGTCTCACCTAAAAAAATCCACTGCGCAGGCTCGAAGGGTTAATGACCTTTCCCAAATCTTCGCTCGCGAAGACTGGCCATTATTAGATGGAACAAAGGGCCAGCAGAGAGCAGTGACCCATCCACAGACTCCTCCTTTAGGAGAAGGGGTTAAAACACTAGTTTTTCACAACACCAATGCAATCATGAGAGATCTTCAAACGTGGCTTTAGATTTAGCCACTTACGGAATGCAGATAGTATTCCATTTTATTTGAAAGTTACAGTGAGTACTTAATAATCACACCTGTATTTTCTTCCCTATTCCTGCAAGGAAAACAGAAGCCTCTTGGACTCTTTTCTGATTTCAGTGATAACAAAACTCCTACCAATTCTGAGAGTATAAAGTTGTAGATGTGAAGCCAGCTTTAACAGAATCACATTTAAGATTCATTAAGAAATGGCAGAATTCAGTTAAAAATAGTCATTATTACCTAAATTTTCTGTTGCAGAACTTGATAAAGCCCCAAGAAAACACAATGCCCTGATTTCATAAAAGTCCAAATATTCCATCTGAATTTTGCATGAGATCATTTGTGTCAGAGACAAAATATGATGAAAGTGATACGCACCTTGACACGCACTACACATAACCTTCTAAGCCGTTAATTAGATGGGTGCTATTTATACACTTAACATGCTGGATTACACAAAAGCTCTTCTTTACATGTACTCCCAGTGCCTAAGAGTTAGGTCCCTCAGTCCTTTACAACTAATAATCTAATAAGAGTCTGCATAAATTAAAACCATGCAACCAAAATTATGTATCAGTTTCAAGAGTCAAACCCTTCCCTGAAAAATTTAAGAAATCTAATGAAATAGCACAGTAGCCTGAAAAGATACTGAGTCATATTTGATGAAATAATTCTCGAAAAATATTTGTTAAAATTTTTCTAGCTACAGGTGTGGCCTTTAAGGGAAGTTTTGGATGCAAGTTATTGCTCTATTCATACTCCAAAAGCAGAAACAAAGAGCTGTGTGTCAGTAGCACATTTGGCAATACAAGATGCAGTCAGAAGCAAATGAACTTTAGTCAGTTCTCTACAACTACCTGAAAGGAGGTTGTAGTGAAGTGGGTGTTGGTCTCTTCTCCCAGGTAATCAATGACATGATGAAAGGAAATGGCCTCAACTTGTGCCAGGTGAGGTTTAGATTAGATATTAGGAAATTTTTTTTCATGGAAAGGGTTGTAAAGCATTGGCTTAGAAAGCATTGACTGCCTAGGGAAACGGTGGAGTTACAATGCCTGGAAGTGTTCAAAAAACATGTGGATATGGCACTTGAGAACATGGTTTAATGGTGAACACGGGGGTGGTCCTGGCTGATGGTTGGATTTGATAACCATAAAGGTCTTTTCCCACCTTAACAATTCTATGATTCTATGATCATTTGCTTGGGCAGCATCTCTGGAATTAGCAGTGGCACCTGCAGTTTCTGATTTTTTGGAAGGGTGTGTGAGGGATGGTGTTCCAGCAGTGACTATATGCTGCTACTAAGTGAAAGGTGAACAACTATCAGTACTCATACCACAGTTCAGACACTGCTGTCTTACAGGGTTACTAACCTGAGTTCCCTGGATAGTTGTGCCTGTGCAAGAAGGCACATGGTAATCCAGGAGCATATGCCACTGTGTGCCATAACAACTCCCCTGGGGGAACGGTGCTACTATTCAAGGGTGCTAGATCACAACCTCATAAGTACGTCCTACACAACCAGTGTGTGCTCTGACTTCTACTGCTATGTGGAACTCAACATGTCATCCTACAAACATGCAGTTTGAAAGTGTTTCAATATCTACTGTCACACAGACCAAGAGATAAAATATATGTATATATATGTACAATATATGCCTAAACATATAGACACACAATATGTAGATTCTTCTACATGTATGGAAAAAAATCTCCTTTGTTAGAATAATCTGTGTCTACAAGAATAGCCCCTCCCTCGTCCCCTTAGTGCTATTAAGTTCCACCCTCTCCTATTTCTACCTGGAAATAGATTAGCTGAAGTCTAATGCACAGATAGCGTTGCCCAGAATGCAGAGCAGAGAAACCTTGACCCGCTGTGCTATAGAGAAAGTTGCAGGGTATAATCTGAAGAAAAGAAGCTAGCGGGGTTAATGGTTTGAATACTGTTTACTTTAACAGGTATTTCACTTGAAGCATGTAAGAAATCTTCAATGAAATGGGACCAATTTGGCACTTAAGTCCTTATACAAACTTATTTGCTGAATGGAGATGGGATTAATCACATTAAGTGATTAAAACTCACTTAATAGACTATTTGACTAATGGTTAAACTCAACTTCTGAAAAACTGAACTGATACCACCAAATAATGCTTGAGTTTAACAAGCTGTTTGTTCAAGTGGCAAATGAAGAAATACGAAGAAAAAAAAGCAGTTCAGAAGTCACAGATCTGTGTTAACACCCTTTCAGTTCCAGTCAAATTAATGCAAGGATTTACTGCAATGCAGTAAAAATCTAAATAAAATGGCATTGTCTGAAAATGTGTGAAGTATTTTAATTTAATTTTAGAATCTTTGAAGCCTGTGCAAGCTGCCTAAACCTAACAGCAGCCTCCATGCAGAAGTAATGATGACTTTCCCACTATTATAAAAGTGGCATAAATGTGTGTCATTGACTAACAGTAAGCGTATGATTTCATTGCTGTTCAGGTATGTGCAAATCGCTGGCTGTGGGAATTAAACAGCCCAGTGCAGAAGACTGGATTTAAGCAACAAAGCTGGTTTAAAATTACAGTATTCAGATTATTTGAGGTCATACTATAAATCTGTGAGTATATTAACTGACTCCTGAAATTACCACCGTAAATAACTTTGAGGTTTATACCTGGAATTAGGGAAAAACATAACTGATTAATTCTTCGATATTTCTATGGGGGGAAAAACCCCTCAGCCTTATTTGAACTTCAAAAAGACCTACACGCAAATCCTATATAGTTCAATATATTAAAAAAAAAAAAAGAATTCTATTTGCTCAGTATTCTCACTAGACAAACCAAACCCTGATACAAAACAAATAAAATGTTTTGGTTCTTTCTTTACAATAACGAGGCAAAGTCGGAACAATAAACTTTGCACAGAACACACAAGGGCATGGAATAGGGTATCTCACCTCTTCTGCATTAATGTTTTGGATGGACAGTGTGTAGATACAACTGTCTTACAGAGAAACCATAAATATGATGTGTTATTCTCTCTCTTTCTTAAACTGTCTGCAAGCAATCCAGTGGCTGTTCTGCCAAGTTTGCTCAGGCACAAAAATTTTTAGGGTAGTTCAGTATAAGGAATTATTATCTCTGCCTGTGCTAATCCTTGTTCTCTGTAAGAATTCATCCTGTGTGCCTGTGAATCCAGACACTGGGCTAGCCAGTCACACACTATGGACTCCATCATAACTTTCTATGCAGAGAAGCAGTAGCTGCCCCTGTTAACACACACACGGTAGGTTCTTTCCTACTTTCGAAGCTTTTTTTTTTGTTAAACAGAAGTCATTCAAACAAAGCTTGCTGCAACCTGAATGAAATTTAGATCCTACATCCTACATATTCCCATTTTATAGTCAACAATCAGCATGCCTTCTGATTGTCTATAAAAGCATTCTGACAAACAAAACCAAGAAGACTCAGAAAAAGAATAAATCTGTAATAAAATTGCCTTCACACTATATAAAAGAGCATAAAAATTGGATGCACAAGATACTAGTTTTTGCCTGAATTTCATATTCCCATGTAGTATTAGAATTCATGTTCAAGCTCTACTTTGCTATCAGACTTCTGAAGTGACATTTTGGAGACATCACTGTCTGCAAAGACTGGAACTGACACTGAGATGCAACACAAAAGCATAACGTTATCTCAAAGGCTCTGACCTTATGCAGCTATGTATAATTTTGACATCACAGTGCAGGACAGACTAATTCCTACCATAGTTTTATATTATGCATGTAATCCAGTTCATACCTAAAAATATCTTATTCCAGAGTTGGCTCATGCAAACATTTTTGCGTGTTTATGCCTGTTTTTATCATGAATGACCAATACCCATAAGACTGTAGGAACAGAGCACCAGAGCAGCCCACAGATGGTTAAACGTGTGTAAGGAAGCATTTATAAGACCTTCAAAGCTTTTGAGTCTTCTATTTTTCAACTACACTTGCATTAAAATCCCAAGCCAAAATACTTGGATCAGCAGCCAAATACCATGTGATGCTGAACACACAGGCTACCATCCACTATAACAAACCGTGAATATCAGCTTTGAAGAAGACAAAAGTTGACTCAAAAAAAACTTGGCACAGAAATTTGGGCCTCGCAAACGCAGTGGCGGATCCTGGCCGCCTGACAAGCTGCCCACAGCGGCTCTGGATGCCGGTACAACACAGGAGCACAGCGCGATGACGGCTGCGGGACGGCCAGTTCCAGGGCCCGTCCCTTGGAGGATTACAACCCTTAGGGAGTTTCTAGACAGTAGGCTGTCAATCTCTTTCGCAGCCCCGGCACCTGGCTCTTCTCCCCGCCGCCCCGCCCGGGCCCCGCTGCCCACAGCTCGGAGGGCCGGGTGCGAGAGGGACGAGTCTCGAGCCCCCTCAGTGCCCGCCGCAGCACCCCGAGCGGCCCCCGCTGCCCCGCAGGCTCCGTGCCCGGCCCCCCGCCGTGCCCATCCCCACACCGCAGCGGGGAAGGGGGAGGCGCTGCCTGCCCTCAGACCCAGGCGAGACGGGCCGCGCCCCGCACCCCCTCGGCCAGCACGGCCGGGGCAGGCCGGGCGGCAGTGCGTCCCGCCGGCAGGCAGCCCCCGCCGGCAGGCAGCCCCCGCCGGCAGGCAGCCCCCGCCGGCAGGCAGCCCCCGCCGGCAGGCAGCCCCTGCCCGCCACCAAGCCCCCGCACCTTGGCTCCGCCTGCCGCCGCTCTCCATCCTCAGCCCATGCCCCGGGCCGGGCCCGAAGGGGCGGCGCCGGCCGGCGCTCGGCCCGGCGGCTGTGGCGGTTCGTCCCCCGCTGCGGGTGGGGCGGGGCGGGACACGGGCCGGGCCCGGCGGGTCCCGCCTCAGCCGCCTCGCCGTTGCCATAGCGGCGGGAGCGCGGTGAGGCCTCGCCCTCGCAGCCCCAGCCCGGGCGGGCAGAGCCGAGAGGGGCAGGGCCCTGAGGGTCCCCCCCAGCGGGGGGGCTCGAAACGTCCGTTCCAGCGGTGCATTGCAGCCAGGAGAAAGTTTCTGCCCCGTTTTGTCCCTTATTATCTAAGCCTATTTCTTGTAACTTGACAGGAAGTCGAAGAATAATGAATGCCAGGGAGAAACTTATGGCAAATCGCTCATATTTCAGAGAAGCAAGTGACAAATCAAGAGCTTAGAGTGTTCCCAGTGCATTACACTGAAGAATTTAAGAAGCACCTTAGAAATGAACTACAAAATAAACTTTTGATAAGCAGCATTTATCCCATTGATTAATATATGTATGCTGATGTGCTAGACTTGAACTTTCTGAAGAAGTGATAGGCTTATATTTACATTTTGTTGGGCAAGTTGCTATTTTCCTTAATGCGAAATCTCTGAGATTTTTTTGTATATTTTGTGTGAAGATTTTTCTCATTGACCTGCCAGGGGCACTGCAGTCCCTCCATAGCCAGACACCTCACAAAAGGGTACATGTAGCCCCAGCTGGAAAGGCATTCACTTTCACTGTCTAGATATTAGTATTAATTACAGGCTAAATACATGTTTTTTAATGTAGTTTGCTGCATCTTCTTACACGCTAGGAAAAATAATTTGAATGTAGTTCAAATCATAACAAAATAAAGGGGATGGTATTTGAAAACAAAGTTTCTTCCTTATTTCTGCCACATTTAAAGCTCCCATTTAAAGTTTGTGTAGACTCTACCAAAAGCTTTTCAGTAGTTGACTACTGAATGTTGTGATATCTCTTATAATTTTAGATATTCCCATTAGCTATATTAAGTACTCCTTTGATATGGCCTTAGTTCTTATGCTTTGTTTTGTAGTGTTCATTTTGGCAGTCTAAACTGTTTTCTGTAAAATAATCTCAAAATGTAGTTGGTGTTAAATTTGTCTTGGATGGGTGAGAGAGGAAATGTATGCCTTGGAAACTCATCTGTCCTCCATCCTCTGGTGGTCCTCTGTCTTTCTGACTGCTTTTTTTGTAAAAACATCTATTGCTGCGGCATTTCAACTACCATCAACCATGATGTCACAAATACCTTACCTTTTTCTCAAAACAAACTAATTTGATAGCATTTTGTAATTTTCTCATATTACTCTTGGATGTGAGATCAATGTCATAGAGAGTATCTGCCAGGCAAGACCTACAAATCCAGAAAAAACTAATCCAACTGTTTTGGGATTTTCTGGTTTGTGTTTTGTTTGGGTTTTTTTTCTCTGAAGCGGATTTTTGATTGTTTGTGAAATTGGATATTTGGGGAAAAGGCTTCACGAAATGAGTTACCATAGTTCTTGTGTTTCAGGGTCTCTGGTTTATACTTCGATATAATTAAAATAATTAAATCTGTAGATTTTAGAGTTAGAGATAGTCTTTAAACAGTTTCCATTTCAGATACCTGAAGATACTGGAGAGAATATAAGTGTATGAGATTCTCAACTCTACATGGTTGAGATACTCTGTATTGCCTGCACAGATCATGCTACAGAAAACACTTGTCTCTTTTTGCCTTTTTGTTTGTTTGTTTTGTTTTAAATTAGCTGCTTATAGTAATGCTTAAATACTTTTTTTGGGTTTTTATCTGAATTCTGAATTTCAGGTTCCCAAATTCTGTTTGTGGTACTTAACATGTGGTAAGTAGGCTGTTCTGTCCAACCCGAATGACTGATTTCTCATAATCTTCTCCCTAATGTTCCTATACTTTTTTCCACCATGTAGATAATTAAAACAGACAAATTTAAGTGAGAATTTTTAGAAACATATCACAACTATTCCCCTGGTTTCTAGGCAACGCTGAGGGTGTGTAGAGATTTCCACTAATTCTTTCTCAGTCAGCTGTCACAGCATCTTAGAGATGTCCTGGCTCTGAAATTTTTGACCTCAAATGGTAACACATACCAAAGCTCTATGTATTTCTGCTTAGTCTCACTTATGAGCCTTAGGCCTTTGGCCCCCTTTGGTCTGTGAGAGTATGTATATTTTAAGTGTAATTAAAAAGTAACCCAGATGTATAAAAATGTTCTAACACATTAAGTCCTATAACATGCACTAAACAAAACAAAACAAAAAAACCAACACAAAACCTTAACAAAAATTGAATCAGTCCTGGACTTTGTTCAACTCAAACAAGTACAGAAACAAGTACCATAAATTGCTGCAGTGAGCCTACCATTGTTGAAGAAGCAATAACATGGCAAAACCTGGAAGATTTGTCCTTTCCTAATTTGAAAAGAGGAAACACAGAAATCAACGTTGCTGTCTGTCCTTTTCAGCAGGCATTTTCATTTTCCCCTTTTCCTTGGGATGCATTACAACAGAACATGGTTTTAAAATGCACCTAGACTGGGAGGGAGTGAAAGCAGCAGGAATATGAGAGTCACATTTGCAAGTGTAGGTGGGCATCTGTCCCTACCCTGACACAAACTTAGGGAACTATCACCTTGTCTACTACGTCTGCCCTGCATATCGTCCAATGTAGACACCTAACTGATGTGAAAATGTTCATAGTATTCTGCAATAAACGAACACAGAGAAAAATACTTTAAAAAAAAGGAAATGTCCACTTTCTTCTGCATGCTTAGCCCAGACAGGACAAGTTTCCTCTGAAAAAGACTGTGTGTCTTGCTAGGACCTCAAACAGTTATCTGCTCACTTGGGACAGAGATCTGTTCATAATGTCATAACTCTGCGTTTGTAGGATTTGACTTTCTTGGAAAAATAGTTTGCATGTACACTGAAAAATTAAAATCTGCAAGTTTTTTGGAGAGTCTTTGCTCTTTCAAGCCATTGGTTTTCTTTCATGCTTGCTTTTCCCTACAGCTGTCTATCAAAGTGAGCCTACATATTCAGGCAGAAAACAGCCCAATAACCAGATCTGCACACCATATTCACAGAGTATTCTAGAAAAGCCCTAAATTTATCACAGCATGTACTTCATAATGGAAATAAATCTCCTGGATCTACTTGAGTTTTTATTTGGCATAAGTGCAGGTTTGTCACCTGCCCATGGTCTGGTTCTGTGAGTGTTCCAAATCCCTTGCTGCACCTCACAGAGGGCTGTCACTGAGTTGCAGCAATCCCCAGCTGGTGTATCAGACAATTAACCTTACAGTCTGTTCCCCTACAACTACCTGGAAATAAAAACATTTCCCTGAAAGATCAGTGGAGGCAGTGCTTTCTAAATGCATTTAAACAGGCTGCCTGAGCAGGTTTCTTTGCTACCTACTTAGGAAATTCTTGTGTTGAATAATTGAAGTAGCTCACACACAGATGGTGTGAGGGAAAAAAAACACAAAAGACTTAATAACTACTAAAATATGTTGTTTGATTGCTTTGTTTTTTGTTTTGTTTTGCTTTTTTAAAGGATTCCTTTTCCAGGAGGAATGGAAGGTTGATTTCTGCCTTGTGTTTGCTTCATGGTCTTTGGTCATGTGATTCTTCAAGTTATTTAAAATCATGTGCAATGTTGAAATATCATTGCAGCTTTCTAAATGATGGAAAGTTATGTGTTCTGGCAGGGCTGGAGACTGTCTCTTTCTTCATGGCAATGCATTTAGTTGTTTTGTTATTGTCTGCATGGCAGCAGTAGTAATAGATTTTTGTGAAGCTCGGGCTCCAGTGGGGAAGATAATGCAGAAACAATTCAGAGGAGATGATCCATGTCTTAAAAACTGCAGTTTTTAAAACCCCATAATTTAGAATGCAATAAGGGAGCTAACCTAAAATAAGAGGGAATGTGATAAGGAAGATGAGGGCAACTTTAGGAATATATAATGATATAAAGTTTCTTTGAACATAGTGTTAAACTTCCATACTATTTATCAGCTTAGAAGAAGTCTCCCCAGCAGTATGAATAACTACTACCAAAACCTCTTCAGGAAGCTGCTGTGCAGTTGTACTCTATATTCTTTCTCTTCAGATCTACACAGAGTTTTATAATACACCTGTCCTGTGTTACAAGACTATTTTTAAATGTGGCAAGGAAGAAACCTCTATAAATTGTAGAAGATGTTATTCTCAGCTGTAATGTAAAACTTACTAGCTGGGCTGACCCAAGATCTGCTTATATTTATTCTTACATTGTGTAATTTTCTGTTTATCTACTCTTCTTGTAAAAGTTTGCAAACAGAATGTGTGTAAGTGAAAAACTGTCCTTTAATAGGGCTGACTGCTGAGGACTGTTCTTTTCTCATTACTTTAATTGAATTATTAGGTATTAAAGAATGTAGACTTCAATAATTAATGGAATAATTGGAATGTTAAAGGGAAAACATATGTAAATGTCATGTTTGTTATCTAGACCATAAGAAATACTTCACTTTCTATCTTATTTACCTATTGTGCCAGATAGAAATGCTTTGTCATAGTAATTAATGAGAAGCAAGATGAAAACTTTTTTTTTAATATTTCAGTCAAGATGAGAAAAGGACTCAGATTAGTCATATATATATGATACAACTCAGTGAAGCTATTCTTGCTTAACTGAGATGGATCATCTATGGCTACCGAGCCCATGTCAGGCAGACAGAAGAATGCCAGTGTGGCATTTTGTGTGGCCCATCCATTTTCTACGCAGCTACTACAGCATGTTCAGGCTTGCCTCGTGCTGTATTAACCCATCCACATGCTTAAACAAATGGGATCCTCTGTGCTGAAGAGAGTTCTTTCAGCTTTGTGAAGGTCAAGAAGAGAAATTCTTGAGGGCAGCTTTAGAATTGCTGACAAAAGAAGGCACAGATATACTATGATTTTCCAAAGCCCTTTCATACATTTTCAATATCTGCATGAATGTGAAATACAGTTTTACTAGAAATGGGCT